AATGGGATACTGGCATGTATCAAGAACAGTGGGACCAGCAGGAGCAGGGAAGTGATCCTGCCCCTGTACTCGGCACTGGTGAGGCCGCACCTGGAATATTGTGTCCAGTTTTGGGCCCCTCGCTTTAAGAGAGATATTGAGCTCCTGGAACGAGTCCAAAGAAGGGCGACTAAACTGGTCAAGGGGCTGGAAAATAAAACTTATGGGGAACGGCTGAGGGAGTTGGGGCTGTTTAGCCTAGAGAAGAGGAGGCTGAGGGGAGACCTGATTACAGCCTACAAATACTTGAGAAGGGATGGTGGAGAGGTAGGGGAAGGGCTCCTTACATTAGTGATGGGTGATAGAACAAGAGGAAACGAGTATAAGCTTAGTCAGGGCAGATTCAGGTTGAATGTTAGAAAGAATTTCTTCTCTGAAAGGGTTGTCAGCCACTGGAATAAGCTGCCCAGGGAGGTGGTTGAGTCCCCATCCCTGAATGTGTTTAAGAAAAGGGTGGATGAACTACTTAGGGATATGGTTTAATGGGGATTAGGGACGGTTGGACTGGATGATCTCTAAGGTCTTTTCCAACCTAGAAATCTATGAAATCTATGAGAATGTCAACAGTGACCTAGGAAAAAGAGAAGAGAAGCTTTAACAGAGTTTCTGATGCAACGAGAACTAAACCTCTCCTTTTTTTTCACAGACTGCTAGCACTCTTGTTGTAGATGAAGCCAAATCTTCCGGAATCTACAGCTGTGTGGCATCCAATAAAGTGGGAAAAGCCGAAAGAAATGTCAGCTTTATTGTAACAGGTAAGATCTAGTCCCCACTAGAGCCAAATGTGTTTCCTGCTCCTGGGATTATAACTGTTAGGCTGTTGTGGCTTTTTCAAATACCACAGTTCAAGAATTGTTATAATGTGTGTACACCTGCAAACTCATACTACACTTTTGGGTGATCCTGGAAGGATTTTTCACAGAAGATGATCTGGATTTCTAAGAAGGATACCAAATTTGGTGAACGACTTCCCTCCATCAAGTATCCCACCATGACACAAATTGCTCACAAATATAGCAACCTGTAATTCCCCCTTTTATATCACTAGCCTCTGCAATCATTCCGTACGTGGAACTTTACTATATTTTCATACACCAGTAACCCAGTTTTGTGTGGGACACTAGTGGTGTCTACAGCCTCATTCTGCTGCCAACCAAGAGATCTCACAAGGTAGTGCCCAGAGCAGTGCCAGAATCTGCAGGCAGCATGCTGCCAGAGGAGGGACACCTGGAGTTCCTGGGCAGCCGCTCACAGCTCAGGGACGATGGCAGCTTGTAGGTAGAAAAGTGGCAGGGTACAAACTGCAGAGTTTTGTTCCCTCTGCTAAGAAATACAACCTTGGATGTCATTTGGACCATGGCACTGAGAACACTCATTGTGCTAGCTGCACGTATGAGTATGTTTCAAGTTATTTTTCCATTACTAGATATTTACAGGTTCAGAAACAAGTGGTTAAATGTTTGATTTCAGGAGTTGCTGAAAAAAACACAGCAAGTTTTTAAGAATAACTGCTGCATGATTTAGCAGCATAATGTCTGCAGATGCCATAACAAAGGATTTGTTTTCTGATGAAAGATGTTAGTTTGGTTTTGTTAACAAAGTGGTAGTTCATAGAGCACTTAGGCTGATGACAAGTTTCAGTGTAGGTCATTAAAGGCATGCAATTCATTCTGAAATACGATAAAAGACAAAAAGATTAAATTATTCTACTACTTTAATCCCAAAATCATAATCTGGAAGCTGAAAGCGAAAAATGATTTTTATGTATCCTGTTCAATTTTTATTGTTTCTCATATCTGTTTTTGTTGTCAGTCTCTCACTTATCAGTCTGATGAGTGATTTTAGTAGAACTCACTCTGTTACTATTCTGAGAGATACCAAAAGAGAGTAGGCACACCTTCACTAGATTTGGTTAAAAAAAAAAAGAAAGCAAGCTTCCTTGAAAAATATCCTCCCTCACAATTTTGTGGACCAAAATTTATATTTTTTTAATATTCTGACTAGCTGTAGTAATATACTTTCACACTTGGAAAGTGCCAGTTACCTATAAATATAGAAAACTGATAACAAGCATGAGTAGTTATTGAAGTATAAACAGATAAGTGGCACAAGTTGTTTGTTAAACTACGGAAACAACAGGAACATCTTCATGTTCTATTAATGGATGTGACAAAAACATTTGCCGCCTTGAAGATGACTCCTGTCTCCACTCTCAAAATCACAGTTTTGCTTTCGTGCCTATCCTGACATTGTGTCTGTTTGGACAGAAAGCTAAATGACAACGCATAGTTCTCCGTAAATTAGCATGCCAATGGAGCTGTATTCTCGTCTTTATGTGAGGACCTCACATATAACTGTGAGCAGTCACTGAAAGTCACTCACTGAGGCTGTTGCTCTTTTCACGTGCAAGGTGCTGAATTTGGCCTTCTCTTGCTCCTCAGTCTGCAAAATGTCGCATGGAAGATCCTGAAACCAGATGAAGGTGAAGTTTTAACGGGCTCCATTCACTGTACCCAAACCTCCCTTTCAAAGTTTTGATGGCGGTTTTGGATATTTTAGTGCTGTGACATGAAGGAGTGAGTTTTCCTGCTTAGATCTTGACCAGGGATAGAAGGAAATCCTTCTTCTTGATACCAAAGCTTGCATGAGAACATGACTTTCCTTTGAAGAGTCTTGTATTGGCTGGTGTTCAGAAAGAGGAGTGACTGCCTTATTACGGCTTGGAAATTCTTAATATCTTGACTGGTGGCAAACTTTCTATATAGGGTGATGAAGTTGAAATGCATTTGTCCTTTGAGTTCCTGGAGCTGAGCACTTCAATTGTGTGACATGGAAAGTCCCGATCATCCACTGACACTCAGTGGCACTGATTGAAGGCAGTTTGTTTAAACAATACTGCTGTTTTGTCCTTAGAAAAGTCAAGTTAGGCTCATTCTTCTGTGTTGTGCACATTGTGTGTCAGTTGGGCTCGCAGAAGGTAGTCCTAGTTCTCCGCCATCAGGCTGACACCAAACTGCTGTGGCTGGATAACAGCCTGTGTTTCATGTCAACGAAAAAAAAACGCATCCAGCATTTGCTGAAAAACACGTTGAGGGAAGAAAAAAATGAGAGACCTAAAAACTGATGGATGTGAATAGGACACTGCAAAGTATTTCCTTCTGATGAGTCCAAAACCAATACTTCAGGTCTTCTGTGACAGCTTGGGGCTAGTTTATCTGATGTTGTTGGGTCTGTTGGTGCCTTATGAAGCCTGAACCAGAAAAAAGTTAAGTGTAAGAGAAGTGTCTAAGCAGGAGAAGGCGATCCCTTGTAGGAAGAGGAGCTGCTGCCCTCTGTAAAAGGGACAAGTCAGAAAGGACTCCAAAGAGCAGATGGAGACAAAGCCTGTCCTGAACAGGAAGAATCCCTACTGTTGGAAGCAATCTCCTTCAGGCCTTGTCCTGGAGATTAGAGAACACATTTGCTCCAGTGAAGCAGCTGTTGTGGTGTGAGGAGGAGTCTTTTCTATAGGCAGAAACTGTTGGGAAGGTGGTGGGAAGGCAGAGCTTGTCCCAGCAATCCTAGTTTGGCAGTGGCATGTTCCACCCCTTCAGGGAAAGGTAGATCTTAGGAAATAGACACAAGAAGGTGTAGGAGAGAGGACCCAGTAAGAACAAGCCCTTTCTTAAGTTATTGTAAGTATCATCATTTCTGGGCTTGAAGTGTGACTTGCTTATGTGTTTCTTGGAGTTTTGAGAGTGGTATAATTTTACACCCTGTGCCTGAGGATGTAGGACATAAAGCCCATGAACTCTACCTTAGCTTTCCTTTCCTATGGACTCTGTCAAATGGACATTTTTGGGGTGTTGTCACAGTGGCTTATTTCTAAAAGCAAATCTTTCTTTAGGGCACAAAAGTATCTGTGAGCCTTATATAAAAGTGATGTGAAAAGGTGATTTCTGAAAGCTCTCCTGCTTGCTGATACAGAAACTGTCTCAGTAACAACACCTTTATGTCAAATTTAACTGTGGTAGCCCCCTTCCCTCCAGCCTGCCCCT